GGAGCCTAAATACAAATGGAGGTTACATTTATAAACGTCTTAAAAATGTAATGTCAGTCATTGTTTTTCTTCTACTTCAACATGATGCGGTATTTTGTGTTTGGCCCATCACAGGAGACCCTATAAAACACCGAAGTTTGTATTTGTAACTTGGGGGAATGAATGAAGGTGTGGATATTTGTGAAAAGGCCCATAGCTCCAAACAGTTTTCCCTAACTTTTCTGACTTTACATGTAGGTTAAAACTTCTACCAAGAGGAAAAACAAACGCATGTCAGTCGTTATTAGTCCAACAACATGAATCTAAATGTGCTAAAGTTGTCTTCTTTTGGGTTATTTAGCTAAGTAATGATCAATTCAGAGTTTCACCTGCCCCGTGTTGTCTCCAAACAATGGATGATGGGGCAAGAGAAGCGGGTCTCCTTGTCGGGCCAGCGGCTCCTGGCCCAAGTGACAGAGCTCCAGCAGCCCACCGGTGAACTGTTCCCCTCCAGCCCAGCGGAGGCTCTGCCTGCTGCGGGCTCCGAGCACCACCCTGTCCAGACTGACCGGCTCCAGAGGCCTGACGGTTCCGGCGCATGAAGACCGCTTGATGCGATAGTGTTTCAGGAAATACTGGCTGGCGAAGAAGCGGACACGGAGTCCGGAGTCGCTGTCGGCAGTTAGGCAGCTTCTGCCCCCGGCGCTGCTAATCTCTTCCCTGGTGGTCGGGTGAACTTGCAGTAAAATGCCCGCCCTGTCACAGAGCTGAGGCCGGTTCGGGGTGAAGAGGACGATCGGCTGGTTGGTGTCATGTTGGAAAACAGATTCCAGGTCAGGTTCCAGGGCCAGAACATCCAGAGGACTAATGTGTGTGGGAAAATTCTCCAAACAACTCAACTGAATCTGCGCCGCCATGTTGGACTTTCCTCACTGCTTAATAGTTGCCTCCAGGTGTCGGTAGCGCCATCTAGTGGACCGGAAGAGGAACCTGTAGGACCATAGAGTTTGTTGGGGAAAAAGTTGAAACGAATAAAAAAAGAATTTCAAACTAAAAAATAATTTTGAAAAGATAGAAAAAGATTTCAATCATAAATTTATTATGCAACCGAAAAATTTTATTTTCATGTATTCTAATCTTCGCTTCTGTTAAGTCAATTTTGAAAATAGGTGAATTTATATCCAAAGAAATTGGGGCTATAGTCTTAAAAATTTTTTTGAAGTTTGAAACTGAAAAGTAATTTTGAAACATAAAAAAAATCTGAAGAAAGTATTTTGAAACTGAAGAAAGCATTTATTTATTTATTTATTTATTTATTTATTTATTTATTTATTTGTGTTAAGTAATTTTTAAAACTTGAATACAAGTTTTTCTGTGAATCTCATGAAGATTCATGATATTTACAGAATCTCCTGAAGATATTTGTGATGTACTTTTTGTGGGACAAGAGTTGTTGGTCCAACTATTGCCACTTCTCATTGCAAAGTCAATTAATATTAAAGATTCATCTAACTCATTACTGTGGTTCACAGTTGAAAATGGACCTGTCAAAACATTTTGCTGGATAATAAACTGTCCCAGAAGTCATTATAATAAATGATAACGTTGTCGTTTTGAGAACATTTTCAAGTAGCGTAATGGTAATAGCATTATAATATAAGAAGAACACATTCTAAGTTATAATAAATATTTAACAAAGGAACTGGAAGAAATTTTAAATGTCACAAGTAAATAAACAACACAAGAGAAACAACAATCAAAATTAATTATGAAGTCTCTGTAAACAAAACTGTCATTTAGAAAAAGAGCTAGTTGAGACCAAAGCACCAGACTGAAGACTTTTATCATCCAGTTCTTGGTAGAAATCATGATAAATCATGCAAATGGAAATTATAAAGCTTGTTTTAACTTATCATACAATTAATTGATTTATTGCTTATTGTGACAGGCCAAGTTGTGACAGTCATGTCTTACCCAAAATTCACGTTTGAGCCAATTATCTGGTTGCAATTTTGAATTATTTTTAAAAAATGTATAAGATCTACTTTATTTATCCCAGAATTGGGGAAGACAATATAGTTAATGATAACATGTAAATTTCAACACAATAACAAAAAAAGAGCTATGTAGAAATGCACACACATATTTTGTGAAAATGATAAGTAGAGTTACAGTGGAAGCAATCCACCAGCAGGGGGCGCGTTAGAGCTACAGCTGAGAACGTAGAGACGCCGAGGAAGCGTGCGGTGCTGATGCTGTAGAGATGGAGCGAAGGGAGTGGAAGCTGCTCGGTTCTATATCCTCCGGACGGATAGCAACATTCAGGTAAGGCGATAAATCAGCCAAGAGTTGAAAGAAACAGCTGGTTGAACCTAAAAAAAATGAAACCATGTCGAGGAGAGACAGTCTGTGTGTGTGTGTGCGTGCGTGTGTGTGTGCGTGCGTGTAGGTGTGTGTGTGTCTGTCTGTGTGTGTGTGTGTGAGGCCACAGGCTGGATGGATGCAGGGCGAAGAGAGCACCATTTATTCAGCGTTGTGGAGAGAGACGAATCTATTTTAGTAAAATAAAATATGAGCCAGCAGACTAACGATAATAAACCTTGTTACAACGGGCCCAAACAAGATGAGGCGTTCAGGAGGTTAAATCAGGGTGGGACTTCAAGACTCTCATGCCTCACCCAGCGGCTGAGAAAAGTCATTGTTGCGTTTAACTGATTTATGTAATTTGATTTAATGCAGACAGGTGAAATAAATGTGTTAAGTGTATGTTTTCATAAATAGTTACATCCATTCAGACAAATATACCTGAGTAACTTTTTGAAAAAATTTACATTTAGGAGTATTTTTACTACGCTGTACCATTTACTTTTACTTGAGTTATTTTCTTAAGGAATGTGGTTACTTTTACTTGAGTAAAATTTCTGTATTTTTTATCCACTGAATGAAAAACAAACAAAATTCACCAGACACAGACACACACCTGCAGTTTTTGTTACAGTTTTATACGTTTTTTTTATTGAAAGAAACTGATTGGGAAAAAAAATATTTTGGCTCATTTGATCTGTTAGTCAGTACTTGAATAGACTTTTTACCAAATACTTTTGCATTCTTACTTGACAATTTTTCTGGACAGCTACTTTTTACTTTTATTTAAGTAAAAATAAAAATATGTTGAAGTAGTGCTGCTCTTACTTGAGAACACTTTTTGGATGCTCTTGCTAGTAGGAAATTGCTTCCAACATTGCCTATAGTTCAACACTATTCATGCATTTTTTTACACTCTCATGCAGAATTAGAACTGGATTATGCTTTAAAAAATAAAATAAAATAAAACTAGTCATATTAGTGATGATGGCATTCCGAAATTAATTGTTTACTCACCTTTGTATTAGTGTTTGTGAACATTCAACTCTTTCCTACAGAAAATTTCAATGTATTTCAGTGGGATTTATTGTGATAAACCTACCCAGAGTATCTTAAAATAAAGTGAAGTACCAGAAACTCATTGCTGTGTAAAATAGTTAAAATAATAATTCTCTGTCTCCTAATTATTATAAACAAACAAAAATAAAAAGTGAGGAGAGCAAAAAACTGTGCAACCAACTAACTTCCTTCGCTACTGTGCGTTTTAAATGTTGAATATATTTAGCAATATACTGAGCGATATGTGTGTGTCCTTAAGATTATTATTATTATTATTATTATTATTATTATTATTATTATTATTATTATTATTATTATTATTATTATTATTGTGTGCTATGCTGGGACAAGCAAAACCCCTCCAACAACCCCAATAAAGTTATCTTATCTTATCTTATCTTATCTTATCTTATCTTATCTTATCTTATCTTATCTTATCTTGTTTAGTATTTGTGAACAATCTGTCATCTCAGAAGAACAGGAGCAATCCGAGCCATGAAATCTATATCTACTATTTGAACCATAGCTGCTCTCATTGCTTCCCAGATAATTGTAAGTCAATATTAGGGCGGATCAGATGACAGGTCTCTGCTTTTCTGGACAAATGTATATTTGAAGGAAGATTTAAAACAGCTGAAAGTGTGTGGGAAGGATCAAATTTGTTCCAGGTTGCTACTGTATGTTTAACCATCTGCAGGCTTCTTGATCAAAAGATTAATATTAAATATTATGTGTTTTACAGGCACATGCTGCCATTTCACAGCAGTCAATGTTTACTTCAGTTGGCTAAAAAATTATATGTTAAATAAAACTTAAAATAAATTTTACTTTGATGTTTATGTTTTTACCAGGCTACAGATATGTAGGTTTAATGAAAAGTAAGCTTATACCAGCTTAGAGGTTATTTTCGAAAGGCACCTTTTATCTGACAAATGAGTGTTATATCCACCAATCTGTGGGTTTTTTTTATATGTTGATCAAACAGTTCAGATTTGTTTTCTTCTTTTAAAAAAAAAAATCAAAACCATATATGATTTTTAATATTTTTACAATTAGTTGATATATTATATACAATTACAATAAAATCCATTAAAGTTTGAGGTTGGAGCATTAGATTTAAAAAAAAAAAAAAGTTCACATGGAATAATTTTGTGCTGTGTATGGGCTTGGCAGAATCATGTTTATTTATTTTTTATTCAGTTAAGTCAGGCATGTCCAAAGTGTATTTGTGGCCCTTCAAATGATTTTGATCAGCACCTTACCACAATTCAACAATGTCAAAAATTTGGCCAGCAAAATTGAAAATAATGGATGACAAAAAACTTTGGAAATCGTCTGTTTTCCTTTTACAAAGGCAGTAGTCTGAAGCTCTTTTTATGTTTTAATGTTATACAGATTTTATTAATAAATAGCTAATTGACAAATAAGAATAATTAAAAAAATAATCTAGGCATATTTTATTTAAGGAAAATTTAGTTTAAGTTTTGGAGCCCAGTGCAAAAACTGAAATTCAGTGTTTTAGTTTTCGATGGAACGACGTCGCTGTGAGCAATCATCTTTGACTGCTTCGATCAGAGGGAGTTTTATTTTGAAAGAGCCGGCTGGATGTTGTGGTTGCTGTGGCTGTTCTGACGCTGCTGGAGGCAGAGCTGCAGTGCGGACAAACAGGCTGGAGCCGGAGATCAGTACAGACACACGCCGCCCCGACAGCCCGCCCGGGTCCGCCTCAGCCAGGGACGCTGGTTCCGGTTCGGCTTTTCTTGTGATTAGCCTTTCGGATCCGGTCCAACAGGAGGAAGGAACCACTTCGCATCATCCTCCGCCCTTTCCCTTCCCCTCCTCCTCCTCTTCCTCCTCAACCTCAGCATCATTTTCAGCTGCAGCAGCATCGGATGAGTCCGGGACGGCGGCGCGGCTCCGAAAACAGAACCTGCGGTTTGTTTCTGGACTCTGTTGGTTCCGGACTCGTAGCGGGACGTCTGGCTTGTTGGACGGGCCCGGTCCGGGTTGGTAGCCCCCCTGTCTGAGGAGAAATAAATGGTGATTTAGTCTTGTGGGAGTCTGAGGCCCAGACCTCGACCCCTCCTTAGAGGAACGGTGGGTTTTCTGGACCAGAACGTTTTGTGCCGAAGTAAAATCCCAGATGAAGATTCCCAAAAGGCGGAAAAGGAGCGGACGGTGTGCCAGGTAGGCCCGATCCGGACCGGTTTGGGCCCGGACTACCTCTTATAGCGTTTAGTGGGTGTGTGTGGGAAACGTTTCGGGTCAACTGAAGTGAAATTAATAATCCGTATCAGCGACTTTAGATCCAAATGAGACCTGCACACCCCCTGGGTGAAAATGATGATGATGATGCTGTTTGCATTGCTGTAATTCATAACGTGGTCCAGTGCGGGCCAAATGTATTGATCGGTAAGGTGTAATGGTGCGCATGCGCGCCGAGGACCCATGACTGTGCACTGCAGAGAGGACAGATTGAATAAAGAGTGATGCAGGGATGCTGCGGTGTAGAGCTGGATCAGAGCGGAAGTGTGCCTCACAAGCTTCTATTTATTCATTCATACTGAATTTTGTTGTTAATTTTAAAAAAAGGAAATAACTGAAAATAGAAAATAACTGATTTTAATATTAAAGCGGACATCGTTTGTTACCATCCTGAACCCTGAAGACGTAGCCAATTAAAAGATTCCATTCATTAAAAAAAAAAAACAACTCCTGTTTGAACAGAGCAGGAATGTTATCTACTATTTCTGTATGTTTCACTTTTATTATTAGACATGTTAAAGATGCATAAAAATCATTTAAGTTAGATTATCTTTTACTGCAGCAGCATAATCTCAAACTTCCAGTTTTTCACAAATTATTTTCACAATCCAAAGAATCTGGCTACATAAAGCGTATAGAGCCACAAATATTAGACGAAAAAAAAAGCCAAATTATAATTTTTGAGAAATATCTACTGAAGGAATTTTATAAGAACCTGCATTTCACTTCCACTTTGTTTTGTCAATATAAAGAAAAAGACAAAACATTTACAAAAATACGATGGATGCATTTTCTTAGGGGATGTTGCTATTTTATTTTACTGCTGCTGGTATTTTTTGGTGTCAATCTGTTCACTATTCCATGGAAAACCCTTGCTATGGTGGATATGTTTAAAATATTTGTTTTTTCGTTGTCATTTTTCACCAAGACTTGTTCTTGAAGCCCGCAACATCACACATCCTCCACCATGCTTAACTATGGATGTGTGGTACTTTCCCATGTATTCATCCCTTGCACCACACTAAACCTATATGAACAGTTTCCTTCCCAAAAAATCCCAACAAAATCTAAGTCTCATTTGTTGACAACGAACATACTTTTAGATGAAATTTCAACAAAGCTTCTGTTATTTTTACATTAGCTATATCTTTTATTTTACATTTTATTTCCTCACCAATAAATGTTCTCAAACTGAAGGTTGTATTTTGTACCTGAAAAGATGCTACTGCAGTAAAAGATAATTTTATTCTAAGTATTTCTGTACATTATTACCATTGGACCAGTAAATACGTCTGGCGTTTGTGTCGCTAATGTTTAAAAACACAGATGTAGGTTAGATAAGTAGAGAAAACCACCATATTTTAGCTAACATTTTAATGTAAAAATTGGAAAGCAGCATGTAGTTTTTTTTTGTTTATCTTGCAAACGTTTAATTTAGATGATTTGTTTTATGATCATTTTTGACAGCAAAAGGTTCAAAATAAAGTTCGTAAGTACATCGGAAATTATAAAATTCTGCGTTTTTTTTTTAAAACTTAGTTTAGCTTCATTTTCTGTAAGATTGCTTTAATTGTTTTTAGAAGTTAAGGCAATATATTGTGTTATATATACTTTTTTTTTTTTTTTTACTAATATCTTGATATGCTGTGGTTTTAAAATGGTGACTGGCTGTTTCTGAATGATTTCATAAAGGTGTGATTCTCTGCTCTCAGGTAGACCCAGCCACCTGACTGACGTGTTTTCAGGCACAAATATGAAACTGTTGATGTTCTTCTTCTCCATCTAATGGCAGATTCACCATGAAATTCTGAATTTGGCTCAGAAAGCCTTTGACTGTGCAAATCGTCTTACTGCAATGCAAAAAAAAAAAAGAAAAAAAAGTCCATCCCAATTAGTTCAAGATTTAACTGCAGTATTTTGTCACATCGCTTAATATCAGTCGAATTGCTGAGGCAGCAGAAGACAGCAATGTCTCTTTTACATAAATTAATTTTATTTTGCAATTCCAAAACTACTTAGCGAAGGTATCCACAACATTTTAATGAAATGAAGTGATAAACCATCTTCAAGATGAAACATGAGGTGGATAAACAGCTGAGGAGATGCTTTTGGTGCTTTTATTTTGGAATGATGCCAGTTTCGGAGTAGCTCAAAATGCCTTTAAAGTTTGCATTTCTTAACTAGTTATCTGCATTTAAAAAATAAATCTTTCAGCTTGTTGAATGACAGGAAACAAGAACCAAACAAAAAATCTGAAACAAACTCAGATTCAGACATTTTTACACTATGCTTTAAAATCTTACAGTTTTGGTTTGCGGTGAATCTAGCATTACATGGTAAAACTAAATGAATATCATTTTATTTTATTTTTACAATCTGCATTGGGTCTCTGAGGATTCAAAGATGTAAACTCTGTTTATGAAGTCCTTCCCCTTCATGTTCTGCCTCATTTTGAAGCGAGGACAGACGGCCGCTGTGGCAGTCGGTGCATTCGCTCTCCTCATCCTCTGATGGTTAACTGTGCCCTCTGTTTTGGCTTGTAGGCTGACAAAGGAACAGGAAGGGTTTTTTCCCGCTCAGGATTTGTTGTAAACCATCAGGTTTTCCAGGAGCTCAGAACTATGGTGAGCTCTGAGTGACTTTCTCAGATCAAAACTGGAATGATGATAACTCGGCTATTGGCAGAGCATCCCACCCTTTCCTCCACAATGATAAACTGATAGATTTTGTAGATAAAGGACAAGAGAAGAAAACAAGACTGCGGTTTGATTGTAGAGGAGGTGTCTGTCAGGATGATTCACTTTGATTTGCTGCTGAGGTCCCGTTACGACCCGTAGTTTACTGCTGCTGGACCACTAAGCCTCCTCCTCTATTTTACACATCAGTGCTGGATGCTGTTTTATTTGTGCATATAGAAGTGCATTATACTACATTTATTAATAGTTAATTTGGATCACACCCATGGAGGATTTTGGTGATTTAACACCTTGCTTTTCCTCCAGTTTTGCTCAAAAACTGAATCTATGTGCAGTGAGACTGATGTGAGCGCAGATGTCTATGTAAGCAAATAATTTGTGGCAGTTGCATTTAAATCTCACAAATGTTCATGTATTGAGGCACAGTCTCAACTCTGATAAAAGAAAAATTGCTCTGAGTGTACGCTCAACTCTGGCTCTCCTGCTCATGTATGGAAAGCCATGAGGGGCCAAAAATCATGCAACATTTGATATTTTTCACATGCAAAGTATAGCAACTGTGTTCTGAACTTAAAGCTAATTACAAATGTTTTTTGTGTAATTTTGAGTATTTGTTGGATGAAAAAGAAGTAATCACAGCCCTCAAATCAAAATACAAAATACTGCAGCAAGTGTATTACAAATCCAAACGTTAAGATTTAAGATAAACAAAAGCAAATTTTTGCAGCCTAAAATACGAATATGTGCTTAAAGCATACAAATATGTTTACTTTTTGCATTTCAGGTGGTATTTCAACATTGCTTGAGTGTCTATATAATGTGTGAAAATATTTTATATTCTTAAATATAAACAAAAGATGCAAAAACAGCTAGAAAGTTTATGACAACATTAATTATTTTGAATAAAAAGCTCACCAATGGCTTTAATGAGTAATTGGTGGCCATGCACACCTCAAATCAGTTCATGGAATATTTTGTGATATCCATCTATTTTCCGTCTATATAACAGGTAAAACAGCAGATTCTGATGTGTTTGCAGTTATGTAAGACTGTTGCTGTGCTTTCGGGGAGACTTAGTGGTCCCTCTCCTCTGCAGTGACTGGAGTCTCAGCAGTGTGTTGAATTCTGCAGCAGGTTTCACTGCATCTCCAGTGTTGCAGCTGCTGGTGGCTGCGTATCTGTTGGCAATATTGGTACTGCTGTTAATGAACTGTATCACTGAAGATACAGAGAAGCCTCCTCTTTTCCTTTGCAGTCTTTCCAGTCCTCTGAGAGGCCTGGTCAGACCGGAAATACAGAGAACCCTCTAATACGATCCCTGTAGCGCGCCTGACAACTCTGCATGCACTGATGACGGCTTGGGCATTGCATGCAGAACAGCATGGTTTGGGGACTGACATGCATCATTTCGAACTTAAGGTTTCCCCCACGAATTCACTGGAAGCTGATAACCATTCATGGCCAATTTGTTGTATCCAAGAGGAGCAAAACGTAGAGTTTAGTTTGGGATAACTGGCTGGAGAACACCAGGGGAAACGGTAGGCAGCTGCTGTGAGACTAATGCAGCTGATGTTAGTAATCAATAGAGTGGATGAACAGTTTTTATGCTTTTCTAGTTCAGAATAATCACATCCTTTGGGATTAGATTGCTTTGCAGTTGCAGCATTTAACCCAGTGTCAGAAAACAGCTGCTCTGATGTTTGTGTGGAACAGAAAACTCTTGAAGGTCAAGACAGTTACCTAATCTGGAGTTTCTTTAACTAAACTATAAAAGATACCTGGATTCATTTGTTTATTTACAGGGCTGTGAAAAAGTGTTTCCCTACTTCCAGATTTTTCAGTTTTTGCTTTTTTGTTTTGCTTAAGTGTTTCAGATCGTCAAACAAATATTAGTATTTGATAAGGATAACCTGAGTAAGTACAAAAGGCAGTTTTCAAAGGATGATTTCATTCATTAAGGGATAAAAGCTATTAAGAACAACCTGACCTTATATTAAAAAAGTAATTGCTCCGTAAAGCTAACGATAGGTTGTTTAATCTTAGGTGCAAAAACTAGTATCAGTACTGAGGAATTTGAATATTGCAGAAATGTTTTCAAGTATCAACAGTTATACAGTATCTGAATTGGATTTAAGTGCAGAACAGGACTTTCTACTGTGTTTTGGTTCTTTAGATTGGCTGTATAAACTCTTTCAGACTTATGGTTTCTGTTTTTCTACTGTTTTTGTGTTGTATGTCTCGGCCTATCACCATAACAAATCGTGCAGTTATGATAAATTGTTCCTGAAGTCATTATGATAATAATATTGTTGTTTTGAGGCCCTTTTCAAGTAATAATAATGCAAAACCATATTCTGAAAGATCAATAAACTTTAAATTCTAATGAACATTTAGCACTGGAACTGGAAGACTACTGGCCCTAAATATATTTACTTATATAAAAGGGCAGTTTGATATATTTGGGAAATATTGATTCGAATGTGTGCTTGCAGAGCTGCTTCCAGATTTACTCTACTGTCATGAAGAACCTGGTTAGCTAACACTAGCTGTTACATTTCCGTCCGAATTCAGAGCTTGAAATGGCGACACCAATCTGTTGTAAGCTGGAAAACCAGTGGTATTTGGTTGGTCTCAGTGGCTAACTAGGATTAGCAGCACAAGCTAATATAAATTAAAATATCTGTGTGTTTCTAATAAAAGTTATACAAGACTAGTGCCCTGTTTCCACTGAGTGATGCGGTTCGGTGAGGTTCAATACGTTACTTTATGGTGTTCAGGAGGTTTTTAAACTGCTAATCGGACTCTCACTGAGCAGGCGGTGCTACGTCATGCTAGTGTAACCACAAACATGGCGCACTAGTTTGCCTTTACTTGTTGTAAGCAGTGACGTTTTTCTGTCAGTCAATGGACTCTTGTGTGTTGCATGCAGCTCTACTTTAATCACTCAGTCAAGTTGCTGAAAGGCAGCACATTTCAGCAACAAGGCAAAGGGCTTTACATAATAAAAACACAAAAATACAAAGTTAACTGAAGCATTACATTTTGCCAAATTCCATTACTACACATCAAAAATGTTGGCAGTAGTTCATTTGAACTACAATGGTAGTTCACCGTATCATTGTACCAACTGAAGGAGACCCAGGAATGGTGCATTATGGGTCGGTTGTATGGACCGCTTTTACAGTGAAAACAGATAAAATAGCGTGGTGAGCTGCACCAAACAGTGTACTGCTCAGAAAAAACTAGAGATTTAGTGAGATAAAATCTGTCCGAAGCATAAATAAACTGCTCATTACTTGAGCCATCAGTGTGTTTGTGTGTGGCAGCCATATTGGATTTTAAAATCGTGGTTGATCAGCATTGTCTGTCATCCCATGAGGCATAACTTTATACGAGATTCATTCAGTAAAAATACTGTCAGAAATTTAGAATGGAAAATTGAGCTGCTAAAGTAATCCAACGTAATGGTTATTAGTGATATTGATTTAATCATAACGTTTATTGATGGATGTTTTGATTTTCTTCTACAGATTTAATCTAAAATTTAGAATAAACATTTACATAAGGAGTAACTTTCAAGTTCTTATATCTATGAATTAACCAATATATAAGATATTATATGGATTTATTAGTTGGGCTGTGTCATGTAATCTTAAATGTTATTACCTGAATAACGGCAGAATTTTCTGTCAACCACAGTTGCTGGGATTTTACCATAAATTAGAGACATTTACTTTTTTTTTTGTTTTACAGTGTACAGAGGATTAAGTGTAAAAGCCTCATTTCAACCAGCTGTTTAGAAGTGTGCAACAACGGGTAGGCGAGGAGAATTTTTTTTGCTTTTTTAGGCTTCATAAATCTTTGAACCACTGGATTAAAACCATGACTTTTTAACATTTCTTTTTGGAATATAAAATATAAATAAAGATGCAGATGTCTTCATTTTTTGACTGTGTGGTGAAATAATTTCTTTGTGATGGATCCCGATCATTTCCTCATCTTGGTAGTTTTGGCAATGAGCTTAAAATGCCAGATGAAACAATAACCGTCAGGAAACTGGAGAGCTTATTCCTTGGACTATTTAGCTGCAGCTTAAACACGTTTTAACCACCTGTAATGGAGTTTGAATCCCCTCAGAGCCTTTTGGGTTCATGTCCCTGCGCCATGCTTGTGGTGGTTGTTGGTTCATATTGTTCTGGTTTTGATGATTCGCTTCAGTTCAAGGCCAAAAGGGTCCAGCTGCTTCCTTTGCAGAAATGATATTTGCTTCAATTACTGCAAATACCATCACACTCCCTCCCTTCACCACAACGCCAACTGCAACCTTCCTACCAGCCTGTAGCCTGATCCAGCTCAAGAATGGCTTCTCATAGCAGTCAGCCATATCTAATGCTTGTTGTTTTACTGGATTGCAATTGGCCCTTTGCACGTGACGTCACGCTCTCCAGAACTCCGCCCACTCCGCCATGACGGACGTCAAAACAGCCAATGCGCTCCTTAAGCTAGTCTGAAAACAGACATCTGTCATCTAATGTCGCTTCTATTTAGTTGATTTCACCTTTAAAATGGTCATAGGGCTCTGCGTGGTCCGCCCCACAACAGACAAGGTTGCAAACCAAACTTGTCATTTTATACAACTTTTAATGAGGAAAGATACAGCGGGGACGTACAGCGGCCGCCAATCATAATGACTGCCAGCCCTCGGTGTAATCGCAGATTTGCAGCGAACACGTTTTACAAGATAAGAAGATTAACGTTCATGAATTTTATAAGTAAGTGTAATTAGAAACATATCAAATATCACATTATGGAGAAAGTACGCGTCGAACGTACCGTGCGGCATGACGATGCGGCACTGTAACCATGGAGACAGTGCCGCGCCGTCATGCAGCCTAGCAAGTATGGCGATAACTGGTTAGCGTCTCGTCTTTTGTACGTTTTTAATCCCGCTGCTGTGTAAGGGGAAACGCTGTTTATGACATAGTGATATAAATCATGTAGTGTGGATTCAGGTAAAGTCGGTAATTTGATCAACACATCAGGGAGGAGGCGATATGGGTCGGTTTCTAAGCTAGCTATTTCCACCTTTTGTAAATACCGCCGTCTATGAGCCCGAACCAGGTGTGTTACATTCACAGACAGATTAGTTAGACTCGAACAAGAAGAAGCCACGAATAAACTGGCAAAAACAACTTGGGGAAACATTTTCCAGTTGCTCTGTTCAACACTCCCGTCCCTCACTTCCGACGTCCATCATGGCGCCTCGAATGATTTAGTGACGTAGTTGCAAAGGGTCAATAATTCTCGCAGGAGAAAGCTGCAGGTTAATCTCCCAGTTTAAGGTGGTAAAGTATTCTGTCTTGCATTTCCTGTCCACCCTTCTTTTTTTCACCTCCTGCCCTGTCCTCGCAGATAAATGGCTCTTTTAAGCTTGGAGCTGCTCGAGTTCTGGCTAGCTGGCAGATGCAGTGCCTAGTCCCCGGCCTCCAGGACAACGGCAACATGAACGGGACGTCCGAGCAGGCCGACATCCTGCCGCCAAACTGTATGGTCAAGGACCGATGGAAAGTGGTGAGCAAGAAAATCTGCCTTCCCCTCTGTTCACTTTTAACAATTTGATTATAAACATATTTGGGTAGTGACTAGTTACATTTACTCAGTTACATTTAGTTGAGTAACGTTTTGGAAAGTTAGTATTTTTGCTTTTTATTTTTACTTGAGTAATTTTACTAAGAAGAATCGCTCTTAATTCAGTAGCGTTTCTGGAACTTAACTGAATGAAGAAACAAGCTTATTTTCACCTAAAATTCACCAGACACAGACACACACCTGCAGGTTTTATTAAAGTTTCAAAGTTTTATTTAGAAAAAAACTGATCTGGGGAACAAACCTTTGCCTGGTTTTGCTATTTTGTAATTATATTACTTATATTAATTATTTTTAATTTGGTACCTTAAATACCAAAATTTCCACATAACTTTATATTTTTTTCCACCTCATTATGTAATTTTTAAATATTAAATGATTAGTTAATCAGTACTTGAGTAGACTTTTTACCAAATGCTTTTTTACTATTACTTTAATTATTTCTTGGACAGCTATTTTTTACTTGATTAAAAATAAGTCAAAGTAGTGCTACTATTACTTATGCACAATCTCTAAATAACAACTTTATTTTCACTAATATAACTTTTTTCTCAGAATTTTACAGAGTTTTCCATTTGAAATAGCATCTTTATTCTGTCAATATTATGACTATATTTTTGTAATTAAATAAAAACTATTTTTAATAATCTGATTATTTTAATTGTCGCAGAAGGGATGATTAAAATAAAAGTCACGTTTTGAAAATATTTTCTGTTATTTAATTTTTTTTCTTAAAAACAAAACCAAGCAAAAAAAAAAAAAAACAACAACTTGAGATTTTATTTTTACTCCATATCGCCCAGCTTTAGTTCTGCCTGATAATATTTGTGTCAGGTTTTCGTTATGGTAGAGAATGTAGATCTAATTGTCTCCGTCTTGGGTCACTGTGTGGCAGCTGAAGAAGATTGGCGGGGGCGGGTTTGGGGAGATCTACGAGGCCTTGGACCTGCTGACACGGGAGAATGTGGCTTTAAAGGTGGAGTCGGCCCAGCAGCCCAAACAGGTGCTGAAGATGGAGGTGGCAGTTCTCAAGAAGCTGCAGGGTGAGAGCTGACACATTTTTAACACATATCATTTGTTTTCCGTCCAGTGAAACACCTACTGTAAATACTTCAAGCTAGAGACATTTTTATTTTAAAAATCTATATATATATTTTTGTTACTTTTACTGGTATTTATGTATGCTTTTTAACACAGAATATTCTCTCTAAATTTCAAAGTAGCAACTTTAATCATGCCAAGGAACAAGAGAAATAACTTGATATATATGATATTATATATCTAGTTTCTATGTTTAGCAACCTTTGAAAATGTTTAGCGCACTTAGCTTTCCATAAATACATTTTTCCAAATAAATTCTAAAGTGTTAATTTACTTAGCAGTTTTGTAACTTTCATCTGAGTTGAAGTTTATTTAGTAATTCTAGTAAAATGTTTATGTTTATGCTCTTATTTTGAAGTGGTTGAAGACTGTTTACGTAGCAGTTCCATTTCCTCTCCTCTTTGTTATTCCCTCTAACTTTATTATACCTAAATGATCCGTTTCCTACTGTACTGTCAGGACATCGTGATAGTTTTAACAAACATGTAAAAAGCATATTTTTATAAAAGATACCGACTGCAGCTTTAAATAGTTTTTTTATTGGTGTGATATAATACTCTGATCTTAAGTGTTGAGTTTCCATCAGCTGTAAGCAGAAAATCATCATAGTAAGCAGAAGTAAGGGCTGTGTGTAATTCATCTATATAGTGTGTTCTTTTCTTTACTACTCATATTTAATGAATATGACTTTACCTTTTTGTAGTTAATCCTTGTCTATATAGTAATGGCAATGAACACTGTCAGCAGGTTAATAAGAACCATGTAAATGGAGAGTAGAAGTGGGACAAAAACTAATCCCTGAGGCACACCTCAATTCATCTCATCTATTGAGGATTTACATGAGTGTGCAAAACAACCTTTGGGTCTAGAAGATGGAAGGTGGCACAGAAACCTAAAAAAAAAAATTCACATTCAACTCTCAGTTACAGAATATTTTAAGTAATCTGATTTCTGTTCTAACTTACACATATTTTTCTTTTTTTAAAAATCTTTTTTGATGTAGCGTGATTTATAAAACCACAGAAAGCCAAATTATGCAGCTCTTCCATATACTGAATTATAATAGCTGAGAAAACAGTGTTGCGTAACAGTGTTATATCACCTAAGTGTTGATTGTGTCACATGTTAGGGCAATATGTGGTTGGCTGGGTGGGTTAGTGATGACTGGAGCAGCCTCCACTTTGTCACAGAGGCACATTAAGCTGCTGGACTGATCGACTCTTCATGGTCCATCAGTCTCTCTCTCCCTTCGCCATCCCCAGCAGGTCACAGCGAATATTCTGACTCTCACTTTGTGTGAATTATTTAACATCAAATGAATAAACCACATTTTCTTTTCTCTCTGAAAGTGCATCGTCAATGTTAATGCTGCCTGTAAAGTAATTAGAATTCATTTAGCACATTTTAGTTGTTTTTTGTTGGGGGTTTTTTTGTATCAGGATAAAATCCCATTGAGATAAAAAAAAAAACAACGGTTTTCCAAGGGAATCCTGGCAAAGACACAGCAACAAAACACACAAAGTAACACAATTAATATGTGTGAAAACATGACAGAAAACGAACAGAGGACATCTAATTTTATCTATGTTCTTCGATTAGCCAGAATCTATTTTGGTTGTCCTGCATGGAGAGTTTGAAAAGTTGGTTTATGCAGACAAATTAACTGAAAAATTGGAGCTACATACAACATTGTTGTGCTTACCTTAGTTTATTGGAATCTATAAAAGCATCCATAGGCAATCATAATTAAATACATTCTGATTAATTTACAAGAAACATGCAGTTGACGTCTTAAAAAAATGTGGAAGACACAACTTGCCACATCTTGACAGTGTTGTGTGATAGAACGGACATTAGAAATAACGACACCCCCTTCCTTTTCTTATTTAAATTTTTAGACTAGTTCTGTTTGACTGTATGAACTGTTTTTAAGCTGCTATTCGGACTGAGGGAGGCATTAAGCTGCAGTTACAACAGTTCGCCACCAGTGGGCGTATAGAACAGTGAGCACTCCTGACTCAGCGAGCTAACGGCTGATCCGCGGAGGCGCTCACTGTTGCTCTTGTATGTGTTGTTAACAGGTAAATTATATTATCTCAAATGTGTAGGAGATGTGAGCTAACGTGAAACATAACCTCAATATTTGATGAAAAGTTATGAATGATCTCTTGTTAGAGCCAGATTATATGTATTTACGAAGCTAGCCAACGCGATTCAGCGCAGTAACTGCTGATCAGCAGAGGCGCTCACTGTCGCTTCTGTTTGTATTAACGTTTGTCAACAACAAAAAACCCTGCGAAATCACACTGATTAATTATTAAGTGTGCAACAGTAGGATGGTAGTTATTTGAAACACTCAGCGCAACAGTTTCACCATCTTTTCTGTTATGATTCAGGTGGGTTTCCTAAGCAGTTTCCTTTCTTCTGAGGGTCACAGGTTGAATGATTAAAAACCCCAAACTGAACCTGAGTGAAAATGTTTGGATTATAATTAAAAAGCTCTCACAACCTAAATAAGCTTCACCATTTCTGATTAGAAAATCCAGAACTGTTTTGATGGAGTGGGTTTTCTGTAACTTTCTAAGGGACATTTTTCTAAATGTTAGTATACAGAAAGTATTCACATCACTTCACCTTTTCCACATTTTGTGATAATATGTTTGTATCCCAAATTGTATTAAATTAATCCCTTTCCTCTCTGCATTCTACACAAAAATACTCCATTACAGCAACGTAGAAAAAAGTGTTTTTAGTGTTTTGCTAGGTGTTTCTATGATTTAAAGTCCACTTGTGATAAATTGAGTTGATTGCACTGCAAAAACACAAAATCTTAAGTATTTTTTGATGAGTTTCTAGTGCAAATATCTTAACACACTTGACATTAGAAAACTAACGTATAAGTAACTTTTCAGCATCACTTGGAAGCTTGTTTTAAGTAAATAATTATTTAATATTGATGAAAAAGTTCTAATTTCATTGGCTGACTATTTCATATATATCAAGGGAAAATGTCTTGTTATAAGTGACATGGCCACTAATTTTTCATCAATATTTAAGAATTATTTACTGAAAACAAGCTTCTAAGTCTTGCAGAAAAGCTACTTGGTAAGATTTTGTGTTTTTGCAGTGAGTGCACATGAAAAAGTAATGATTTAACTGCATGATTAAAAACTAAAAATTCATTTAGCATTTAGAGTCTCAAAGTAAACCAGTATGTTGTCTGTTTTAGCTCTCGTTCCAACCAACCTTGAGGAAAACCAGTGTCTTTCTTGCTGTCTAATGCACGACTACATCCACTAATGATCCTCAGTGAGAGTCTCTGACTGAGGAGTTAATCGTTCTGCTTGCTGGTGACACTGTAATTTTTTTTTAGAAGAATGACTCAGCTCTAATATGCAAATAGAAATTATGAACTCTGCCTCCTTCGCATTTAAGCTTGTGATGAATACAAAGTGTGGAAGTGATTAAATAAAAATAAGGAGAGTCGTGGATGGATATTATAATTGTATCTATTTGTTCCTATTATTGTGTGCTAGCAGAGCAAACGTTAAATAATGTCCTCTCTCTCTCTCCCTCTCTCTCTCTCTCTCTCTTTCTTTAGGTAAAAACCACGTCTGTAAATTTATTGGTTGTGGGAGAAATGACAAGTTTAACTACGTGGTGATGCAGCTTCAGGTGAGTCACAGCGTGGGCGACTTTAACCAGGAGGATGGCGACATCTGTATTATTTCTATGTCAAAGAATTAGTAGCAAAATGTATTTGTGATTTGATATCTAACAATAAAGCTTAGAATGTGTTCTAGAAATACTTTAAATTTAACTCTATTTTGAATGGATTGTTGTTGTTTTTTTAACTAGAGACACACTGATCATAATTTCCATTCCAATTTCCAATCTCCAGTATTTTAAAATGACCAGCGCTATGAGTCTCGTGCTGATGAGGAAGTCTAATTTCCTCTTTTTGTGCCGTTCCAGGGCCGTAACCTGGCCGACTTGCGGAGGAGTCAGCCCAGAGGAACCTTCACCATGAGCACCACCCTGCGACTCGGCAAGCAGATCCTGGAGTCCATCGAAGCCATCCACTCAGTGGGATTCCTGCACCGCGACATCAAACCGGTAAGCAGACTTTACAGAGATGAGATCACCACGTCTGACGTGCGGCAAACTGCCCGGGATCTGAGTAATCCGCATAGCTTTCTTATTTTAAAAAGGCAGAAACAACAGGATAGCTGTCGTGGTTTGAAATACAAAATGAGGGAGATGAAGGTCAAGTTTTGTATGTCATGAGGGATGGGTCATTAATTATTATAATTTCATTGATTCATCGGCCAGACGATTTATCTGTGCCGATTTTCTTATTTTTGGGAGATCAGTTGATGGCACTTACATGTGAAGCCGATCTTATCTAACTAAGCAAAAGTCTGAAAATCAGCCACTGTCCTCTTCTGCTCTGCAGCGAGAGGTTTGACTGGCAGACCAGCCCATCAGGTTGTGTCTCTGTGTTTCTTCTTAACGACATTCGCCCCACTGTTACCAACTCAGCAACTTTCTTGCTATATTTAGCAACATTTTAGACAAACAAATTTGCTATCAGCCAAAATGGGAATCAGGAGGCCAGGCTTTTTAATGATTGATAATCGGCGGTTGGCCAGAAAACTGCAATCAGTGCACCGCTAGTAAAAACTGTCACCATAATGTGACAGCTTGTTATGAAAAATATAATCTGTGTGAAAAGATGGATCTCCTTCACCCTAACCCTTTTTTTTCACATATTTTCACATAGTGACAGTTTTAACAAATATATAAAAAATATATTTAATAAAAGTTACATAATGCAGCTTTCATGTATGTCTTTCTTTCACACATTTAAATAAAACAAAGCAGTAATTATGTATTTGTGTAGCTTTAGTAAAACCTTTTTTGGATAGTTTTGTTTTAAATCTTCAGCACATTTGCCAGTTTCCAAATGAAGTTGAACTCCTCTCAACTTCAAATATCTGCTGCGCTATAAACAGCCAAACAAAGACAGAACAGAGGAAGCAGAGGGGAATTTTTAAGAGGATTTGAGAACCTTTGTGCTGATTCAATTTGCATATTAACAATGAGAGCTGGAGCAAAAGATGGAGGACAGTGCTGATTAGGCTGGTAGGATTAGGAATACCAGATTAGGGGATGCAGAAAAAATCCCCTGAGGGGTTTCATCAGACTGCATTCAGTTTGGATCCATCGGTCCTAAACCATTCGTTTTTGGGCTGCATTTAGTGGCAGAAAGTTTGGAAATTATAATTTGCAAGGTAAAACGGAATAAATCTACTGATTAAATCAAATTATAGTGAAGCAGGAAGGCAATGGATGACACTTGGGTATTTATTGAGGTGATTCTTGCAAAAACTCTGAGAACCTGTAACGTTTTATTTGGATGAAGCAGGAGCAAATTGGAGATAACCACTGAAGAAATTTATAAATATACGGCAACACCTTTGTAACAATAATGAACACAGACAAATGAACTGAATATGGCAAGATTTATAGAACATAAATAAACAAGTGCATCAGCAAAACACAAAAAAGCCAAAAACCAGCATATTATGAAATAGATCATAATTCGTGTTTAATGAAATTGAAGATTTAATTGAGTTTTCATATAAAATATTTTCATTACTGCATAAAACATGTGAAGAATTTACCTAAAGCTGTGAATGGCTACACTGAGAAAAGTAACATTTTATTTTCTTAAGAATAAATGCAGAAAGTCTCTCTGAGCTTAAAGGAAAATATCATGTTTTTAAAAATTGTTTCTAGATATAAAAGAGAAACTATGAAATTTTGTCAGTGTCATAACAAAATTACAATCTCATTTAAAAGTGACATATTTACCTCTGATTTTCCAGTCATGTTGAGACGTTAAATCTACATGAGATGAATTTGTTCTCTTGTCTTTTCCAGTCAAACTTTGCGATGGGCCGGCTCCCCTCCACTTACAGGAAGTGCTACATGCTGGACTTTGGTCTGGCGCGTCAATACACCAACACCTCTGGAGAAGTTCGACCGGTAAGGAACCGTGATAATCTATCTTTCTCTTTTTCCCTGGACAGCAATAGCTTCATCGGAAGGATCTGGAGGCACTTTTACAGTAACCTCAAGCTCTTTTTCTTGTTTTATTTTCAGAGATTTTAGCAAACAATATAGTTTTTGTTTTATTTTTTTATGTTTTTCCTAAGAAGGTCAAATTCATTAAATCGTACAATCAAAAATGTGACAGTTCGTTATGAAACAGAGAATCTGTAAAAAATCAAGTTCCTCCACCGTCTCCATGAGCTACTACTGCTGTCTGTCTCCAGCCAGGAGGAGGGTCTTAGTGCTGTCAATCAACCTCATGTACACACAGCTAAATGCGCTAATGGTGGAAAAACAAACCATCATCTGTTGCCACTGCAGAGAGCGTAGCAGAGAGCAAGGTGGGTGAGGAGGGGATGAACAGCTGCATGAGATTGTGATTGACAGCACTAAGACCCGCCTCCTGGCTCTGATTGGTTGTTCCTAGTTAGCACTGGAAGAACGTAGAAGCTTGATTTTTTTCACAGGTTGTCGGTCTCATACCAAATTGTCACGACATATTAGCAATTTCAACAAATATGTAAAAGAAAAACTTATTTTTAAAGTTGCGTACTGCAGCTTCATGTCTAGTGCTTCACTAAAAGTGTACAAATATTTTTTCATTGGGTACAAATATACAACTGCAATGAGCTTTATCAACAATATATGTGTGCAGATTGTTGAATTTATGATGCAGATGATAATTAATGTCTTTTAATGATGAAGACGGGGCTTTAAACACACAAAGCAGCAGAATATCTCACCTTTTAGGGTCTGAAATGTATATTTTCCTTTCATACATGCCATTATTTTAGGCGTATTATATTTAAGACCAAATTTTAAAGAAAATGTAACATTGAAACATCAGACAGTATTTTAAAAGAATCATAAATTCTAATATAAAAGTTAGTTGTAGACAATAAATCAAACTGTAAAAAAAAAAACGCAACAATGCAAGAGTTTCAGCAAATATGTAAAAGAAAAAAATCTATTTATCGTTGCATACTGCAGCTTTAAGATGTGTACTATAACATGAGGATGTTCATATCAAAATATGCTGTTGGTTTGGAGAAAAAGTGCTTTACTCCTTCCAGGTCCATGTTGTGTTAAATTCACCAGAAACATCCGATTACATGCAGAAGCATTGGCACCTCACCGACTGAATCCGCCATTCATAGAAAACACGCCTGACCAAAGCGTCTCTAGTGCTTCACTAACAGAGTAAAAGTATTGCAAACCTTTAACCGGCTCATGCATGGAAAGCTCCAGTGCAGCTGACCCACATTGTGTGCTGAACATCAGCAGTCTTGTCTGCAACAAACTGTCTCCTACATTGTAGAATAGCAGCATTTAGCATTTAATGTACACAATTTCTCCTCATGGAAAACGTCTGTGAAACCCACACATCATACAGCTTTCAGGATGGCGTTTGGGTGAAATAAAACATCAACTATTTTCACAAATAGCACAAAGAGCAAGTGAAAAAACACGTTTTTTTAATCCTATGATCAGTGTAGAGTAATCTGGTCCAGGTTTTGAGAACCATGTTTTTTGATGACTTAGACAAATGAGTTCACAATATTTTAATTTTATTTCTTATTTAGTGGAAACACTGCATTTGCGAATTTATGCTTTTTCAACATTAGCTGAATATCATCAAAGTTTTGAGCACATTGGTAATGGGAACACAGCTAATGATTAGGTCCTAATCATGCAGTTAATTCATTATTTTCTTCATTGTGTATGAATATACAACTGCTATGAGCTTTATAAACGAGAAATGTGTGCAGATTGTTGAATTTATGGCAGATGTTCTTCTGATCTAGATGATAATATCTTTTAATAATGAAGACGGGGTTGTATACTCACAAAGCAACAGAATATCAAAGTTTTAGGGTCTGAAATGTATATTTTTCTTTCATACATGCTGTTGTTTTAGATTTAATATGTTTGCTGAGACCAAATTTCTAAGAAAATGTAACAGAAACAGAAAGAATCAGAAATTCTAATCTAAATTTTAATTTTAGACAATAAATCAAATTGTAAACCCCCCAAAAAGGACTAATGTATAACAATTAATATCTTGTCTTTTATCTGGTCAACTGAGTCTAATCTAACTCCAACCTCTTTATTTAGTTTAGTTGGCTTTCCAACTAAAAGCCACATTAACTTTTAGTTGGCCATTGGCTTTCTAATGCTTTAATGATGAGTTCAATTATTAATCATTTAATGATATTTTAAAGGAACAGTCCCCCTCCCTGTGTGTAAAGTGGGTGTGTTTGCTGCAGTGCAGCATCTCATCACATTACTGTCTCGTCCGTGCTGCCTGACATCCTGTGTGTCAGTGAATCTCTGGGATCAATACCAAGTCTCAGGGATTGTTCAGACTGTTTACTGAAAAGAAAAGAAAAAAACAAGAAAATGAACTGGATGTTTGAATGTCTAAATGTTTTCACTGGTTTTGAGGAAGAGATGGAGTCAGTAGTCACTGATCTGCAGTGAGTCTCTTTCCACTTCACCTCTCGTTTATTTTCTTTCTATCAGACTGAACTGCGAGTTATTTTTAGATCGGTTAGTACGTGAGGTGCATCCATCTACTGTTCCCTCTCCTCTGCTGCTCTCCTCCTCTTTCATTTCATTTTCTCCCATCTTCATCCTTTTTTTTTCCCTCCAGCCGCCACCCCTCCTCTTCCCTCACATCCTTCCCTCGTCGTTTTCTTCCCATCGCTTGTCCTGCAGTGTTGTGCTGCGTCTGTTGCAGCAGTGAGATGAATATTTGATGCGTTGGTGTGCGTCACTGGGCGAGACTCTGAATGCTGGTCTCTCCTGCTTCCCTCCCTCCGCCCGTCCTGTATTCCCCGGTCATCCTCTTCCTACAGCTGAGTCAGTTCTTTCTCTCTCTCCTTCTTGTTTCTACCCATCCATCTCTCCTCTTCCTGTTCCTCCCCCATTTTTGTTCTTTTTCTATCGCTCCAGCTCTTCCGTCCATCAAGCTCGGTCAGAGGCGCCTAACTGATGGAAACAGCACTTCCCTTGGCTAAAACTAAAACATCTGCTGACATTTTCTTCTTTACTGAAGGGGCTGAAATGATTCATCAAGTTAATCGTAATGGACTAATCGTCAACTAGTTATCAATTAATTGTTAATAAAAGTATGCAGACCAAAAAGGGCCGTTTGCTGAAAGAACAGCATATTCAGAGCAAAAATTTAGCCAAAACAATATACAGCTCTGTAAAAATTAAGAGACCACCTAAAATGATCAGTTTCTCTGATTTTACTCTTTATAGGTTTATGTTTGAGTAAAACTGAATTTTGTTCTTTGATTCAATGAACTACTGACAACATGTCTGAAATTGCAAGCAGAAATTTAATATTTATTTGCAGTAAATGAGAAATGGTCAAAATAACTAAAAAGATGTAGGGCTTTCAGACCTCAAATAATGCAAAGAAAACAAATTCATATTCATTTAGAAACAAAAACACTAATGTTTTAACTCAGGAAGAGTTCAGAAACCAGTATTTGGTGGAATAACCAGGAGGTTTTCAACACGGTTCAGTGCAGTGGCCTCTTCATTTTTTTACAGAGCTGTATTTACTTTTTGCATTTAATGAAAGAAATTGTCTGTAAATATGTTGAGCCCAAAATGCATCCAGCAGAATGATTTTAGCTTCACCTGCTTCAAATTCTGTAAAGATAATCTTCTTCTAGGCACAATTTTCTATCCAATTATTAGTCAGTTAAATAATCAACAGATCAGCTCTACACTGTTTGATGTTAAGTCCGGCAGAAAGAGCTGAACTTCTCACATTATAGAAATTATTTTTTGCTGCAGATGCATCCTTTGCTACAAATGATCAAGTTTATGTAAAAAAAAAAAAAAAGCTACTTCATTGCATTTTACACAAGAAAATTTTTATTTCAAAAGGAACTTAATTATCTGTTGCAACTTTTAATGTATTTCTGATGTAGTGTAAGAAAGGCATAAGTGGTTACATTTTTTATCCACGTAATCATTGGAATAATCTATGGATTACAAAAATAATTGTTAGTTGCAGCCAAACCTTTCTGTAGGAAAACAGCACCATCTAAAGCAGGAACTCTGAAGTCAGTCATTAAAAAACGCCATGATCAGGATCCATTATACTTGGAATATATGGAATAATCCATAATCTATGATGAATTTCCAATTTTTAACTTGAGGAATACTGGTTTTCACATGTAAAATGTCAGTTTTTTTAAAGCATTTTGTATGAATATTCACCACAGGAATGCAGTGAATTGTTGGTTGAGTAATCAGTTTGTATTTGTTCACAGGTTTCCATATAAAGAGTCAGTTCAGAAAGTTTCGTGTTATGTGAGCGGTCAGATGCTCAAACTTTGTTGCTCACCAGTCATCAAGTTTTTGTTTGTTGTATTTTTTTAAGCTGTTATTTATGTTCTGTGACTTTTCTGTTGCTTTGTACGTGTGCACTGTGTTTCATTTTGGTTATTTTATGTTTCAGCGTCACTTTTGTTTTTCTTACAGTTCCTTTGGACTTATGATTTTGACGTGCATGCCTCCCGTTTCTCCGTCACCTCCATGAATCCCCAGGGATGTGAGTGGTTTCTATAGCTACCGAGGGGCCGCACCACCATCACCAGCAATCCAAGAAATTAAAACTTGAATATGAAAAGAAAAATTATTTTTGGTTTCAATTGTTTAACATAAATTATTTATTCTGGAGGTCAAATCAGTCGTAATCAGTCATAGGTGGCTTTCTTCACACATCTACCACTTGTCCAACTTAAGATATGAGATTATCTTTCAGTTAGGGGCTAAACCAAAAAAAATCCACTTTAGTGATATCTGATTATTTTCTTTTATGAGAAAACATTTAACAACACAGATGGTTAGAATACACAGCTGTAAAAAGGTGTTTAATTTCTTCAGATTTCTTAGGTTTTCCCTGTGTCAACACACTTAAAAGCTGCAGATCAATAAACTAGCTTTAATATCTAGCACAAAGATTTGTGCTGGTTTGCACTGCAAACATTTTTGTGCCGTTCTCATTTAAAAGATACTAATAAATGTTTCCAGAGATCACTTATTAGCCTCCCCACCTTCTTCAAATCAGACAAAATTGGTGCCGATGAACTCTACAACGTCTGTGCAGCAAAAACATTTAGCCACATTCACTGTGGCTAAATTCAAACAATTCCCCAAAGAAAGCAGCCAAGATTTCTAAGCAGCGATGTGAAATCCAGCTGCAGTTTCCAATAAGCTTAGGCAGCAATTATGTTATATTTACTGAGGTTATCTTAGTTAAAATAAAACATTGAGGCGTGATACAAATAAAAAAAATCTGTAGGGGAGCAAGTACTGTTTCTTGACACTGTGTGTTCAAGCATATTTTATTTGCATGGTGAAGAGTTGCTGCAGGAGACGTGCTCTCTCGTAGTCAAATAAAAGGAAAACTGGAGGGGAAGCTATCTGTTACTCCGGCCCATTTAAGCACACACTTAAGCTTTTTGTGCGGCTTTGCATTTGGAAGTGATGCAGACGTAGATCCAGCGCTCGCCTGCAGAGCTTATATGAAAACCTTCTTGTTAGTTTGTGTCCCTGGAGCACTGCAGTATAATTTTCTGCTTATGAATTGAACTTCATGGTCAGTTTCTAAAACTGGAGGCTGTGTAGTTTCAGTCTGACCTTTTAACCTCCTTTTTGCTACATTTTTTTTTGTTTGGTTTGGTCTGAACGTTATCTGTTTGCATCTGGAACATAAATCCGAACCAGGAAAGGACACTTTCATTTTATCTCATTATTGTGAAAGATTTTCTACGTTGTATTGAGTGTCTTTAGTGACACACACTGGGCCTTTTATTTAATCTAAACTCTCCAAAAAATATGGTAACAAAGCAAGTTGATTCCAGTTTGAACACATAAATTAAAATCAAAATATAGAGCCTAAAACCACTTGTGACTATTTTTCACTTCCAAGGATTCCAACTACTTTATAATGTTTTATATAGTAAAACATTATAAAAAAATTGATCTCAAGTCTTTCTTTATGCCTTTCAAAGTGACACTTTGTCTGCTTTTCATCCATTTTCTATCTACCTCTCAGATTTCTGAATTGACGTGTAAATTCCAATTTTAGTCAATTCAGTCTCTGTAAAGTAAAAACGGCAGCACTTATCAAGGATTTTTACAGCCGTCCTCGTGGTAATTATCATTAATAATTTATCATAATAAAGAGTTTCTGAAACAAGTCTTTTCAAAGGAAGGAATTATTACACAGGACATTTTAAACCATTTTACTGCATTTAGAGCAGCTAGCATCTCCACATTCACTCCATGGAGAATTTAAATCCTTAAGGATTAATTGGCTGAATCTCAAAATAAAATATCCTCAAGCTTGTCAGTCTTCAGTTTTCCTTGCTGATGTTTATTGTAACTCAGTCTGTTCTCCCAGTTTGTCTGAAACCAATAAAACCAGAGTGCCATGCAGTTTGCGTTCACTGTCGATGTTCAGAGCTAAAGTGATAAATCTTTCCATTTCAGTTCAACCACAACAAGCACAGAGTATCTCTGAGGAGGTATAGCGTTTGATGAGTTTTGTTTTAAACTTCTGTTTGGCGTATGTTGAAAAAAAAGAAGGAAATGATGGGTTGGTGAGTTGTGATGTGAACATTTGCTGACTCACTTTGTTTCATTGTGTGTTCAGCCGAGGACTGTGGCAGGTTTCAGAGGAACGGTCCGCTATGCCTCAGTAAACGCCCACAAGAACAAGGTCAGTCCTGCCTGCTTCCTCATCCGACTTTGGAGTTTTAGCATTTGAATTAAAGCGGGAATTGTTATGTAAAACCAACTTTTTTTAGAGCTCTACATCATGTTATAATGTTATTCTCTCGTCAAAACCATACCTCAAGTGTTGCTTTGATTTTTTTCATGCGCTTTTGAGAAATCCTTTAATCTCCATGGCAACCATTCAGCTGTGAAAAACGCCTGGTTGGACCCAGCCCCGCCTTTGAGACGCAGCTCCTCCTCAGAGCGTCCGCCTCACGGAGCAGCCCTTTCCCACTCAGACCCTTCAGACTAGCCAGCAGCAGTTAGCAAACACCTGGTGGAACTGCACCTCTGCTGAGCTCATTTTACAAGTTACACTAGTAAAAATGTTGTTAACAAGTTAATAGAGGAGCCATGTTGTAATGAATTCCTGAAGGCACAGTTCCAGAAAGCGCAAGAGTTTTGAAAGAGACAGAAGCCCAATTTAAAGGCGTTAAGTTACGAAGTAAAATTTCTTTACAGTCATATTTCATATGTACAGCATTTTTATAACAGCTGGAAGTAACACAGTTACTTGACTGTGCTTTAAAACACATAATACTGTCCATTTAACCCTCCCACGGTCTTAAGCGATGGGGTCATTTTTACTCTGCACGCAGTCTGACACAGTTGCACTGACCCTGTGTGCGCTTGTACAAGTTTTTTTTGTTTTTTTTTTGTTTTTTTGAGCGATTTTGGAAACTGATGGTCTGATGGGACAAACCCCTATCAATTCCCTGCTGTTTGACCATGGCATCATTTGCTGCTCTCCTCCTGAGCTGCTCTCCTAACACCACAGGAGGGTTAAATAAATAATTTGCTGAATGAAGCCAGCATTTCTTTTGACAGTAATCTCAACATGATCTTAAAGTTTTTTTTTACCTATCCCAACAGGAACACATGCAGTTCTTTTCTGAGTAATGCCTCTTGGTGTCTCTTCAGGAAATGGGTCGTCATGACGACCTGTGGTCCCTGTTTTACATGCTGGTGGAGTTCGCTGTTGGACAGCTGCCATGGCGGAAAATCAAAGACAAGGTCAGAGGGTTTTTCATGAACGGGATGACACCTTATCCATTCACACAACAACTTTTAGAAACAATAACGACAAAGGAGTAGTTTGATTTAACGTCTCTTTTTAGCGTCGTCGTATGGCATCACATTCCTACCAAAAACCCTGAGCAACTTATTAAGCAATCACAACAACAGCACATTTATTGACAGAATGAGCGCATGTAATCTTTAAATATTAAATGATTGGTGTTTTGATCAGTTACTCAGTACTTGAGTTGACTTTTTACCAAATACCGTTTTACTCTGACTTGAGTAATTTCTTGTCAGCCACATTTTACTTTTACTTGAGTAAAATTTTTGGGTGCTTTACCCACCTCTACCTGGATAAGACAGGCAGCAGATCAGTGAGCAATAATATCCAACTACAGAAAATAAAACTTAAAACTTGTTACTACATTCCCAAGAATGATCCTTGCAGAACATTATCCTGCTGTCAAATTGTTAATATAAAACCATCAAATCAGAGAAGCATTTGTAATGAACTTTGCCTTTGAACTGATTGATTCAGTTGTGATCTATGAATTTCACCAAAATGTCAAAAATCTAATACGACACCAGTTTTATTTAAAAAAAACAACACAAATTGTTAATTCACAAAGGAGCGAGGAATATTAACAAAACAGCAAATTTGGATGTCCATCATGCAGTTTCATCATGGACTTAAACAACACACAGATAAACTACATTGTAATCAAGTTTTAGGCTGATGTTTTATTTTCTGTTCAGGAACAAGTCGGTCAGATTAAAGAGCGTTACGACCACCGGATGCTGCTCAAACACATGCCTTCAGAATTCAATATCTTCCTGGATCACGTCCAGGCCTTGGACTACTACACCAAACCAGACTACCAGGTACTGCAGGAGCAGCCATGACTGGACTGTTGGGAGCAAAACCAGCACTGGAACACAGATTCATGTTTATTTATTATCTTCTAGCTGTTGATGTCAGTGTTTGAGAACAGCATGAAGGAACGAATCATAACCGAGAACGAACCCTTCGACTGGGAAAAGGGAGGAAGTGATGCAACGCTGTCAACCAGTGCCTCCACTCAGCCACAGCACAATACCCGACCCACTGCAGCCATTGTGGGGTAAGACAGATCTGTCTGTCTGTCTGAATTCAGACAGATGTCTGAATGTCTCTCTGTCTGTCTGTCTTGCAGGCTACTTAGCTACCTGGTTAGCTAGCTAGCTGGTTAGCTGTCTTTCCAAGAGTACTTTTAATAACACAAATTAAGTCCAGTATATTCCTGCTTATAATTTTTGAATGTGAATCAAATCTTCAAAAATGTTAATCCTTTGATACATCAGATAAATTATCCATCCTCCTAACATTTTAGTTTACTTGCAAAAACATTTTAAAACATGAAATATCTTCTTAAGAAAGCAACTGAGGTTTTCAAAACGGCTCATTTTCCAGACACCACAAAATATTAACTTATAACCAAGAAACGTATGGATTTTCTTTTGGGCTGTTTTTGTAAGCAGGAGAAACCCAAGCGGAAAGCATAAGAACAAGCAAAGTGGGAATTTTGCACTTTAAATCAAAGGCCGTGTAGATCAGTGCAGAATGAACACTAGAGGCGATGTCCAGAGAAATGCAAAAGTTAATGTCAGGAAATAAGAAACATCTGGGATCCTTTATAAAACTGCTGGAAGTTTCAGTTTAAGCTGAATATTTTGCAGAATGAATTTTCTTTGTAAAAGAAGCATTTCTTTTAGTTTCTTAGATATTTTTTGTGATGTATCCTGGGTCTGTTTCTTGCTCCAGAGCCATTGTGACGCCGGTTCCTGGAGATCCGCAGAGAGAAAACACAGAGGACGGTCTGCGGGATGAACATTTCAGCGATCAGGAGAATGCGCCTCCTCCGCCACCGAGCCGGCCTCCGGCAGAGACGGCCACACAGCAGAACGTCGGGGAGCCGGGAGAGGCCTGGGAGGACACAGACTTCAACCGCAACAGACTCAGGATCAGCCTTAACAAGGTCTGAATCTACAGCCTGGTTTTAGTTCAACACTTTTTATTTATCAAAAAAGACTATCACAAAACAGAGCCAGTGTAGTTATGGCAGAAGCTGAAGTGTGAAGCGCTTATAGAAAGAAAAATAATGATATCAAATAAATAAATGAATTAAATAAGAACCCAGCCAGCATGCCTAGGTGGGACCCATGTGGGGACAAGGAGGGCAGACTATATGGGTCCCATATGGGTTTTTCCGCGGGTTCCACGATGGCCCCACATGGGTTTGCCCATGTAGGGCCACAGCCCACATGGGTGCTACATGGGCCCTAATTGGACAAAACCCATGTGGGCCACCACCATATAGGGCCCATGCAGGGCCCATGTGGGCTCTGGCCCTACATGGGCAAACCCATGTGGGGCCATCGTGGAACCCGCGGACAAACCCATATGGGACCCATATAGTCTGCCCTCCTTGTCCCCACATGGGGCCCACCTAGGCATGCTGGCTGGGAAGATGCTAGATATTAGTATTTCCAGTAAAATGCAAGTTCTCCTCTAAATCTGCAGTATGGAACTTTTCCAAAATAAAAAAAAATATTTGTTGAAACTGTAACATTTTATTTGAAGCAGTGTGCATAAGACTGGCATAATACTGTGATGAATATTAAGGCGTCTTCAGGAATGTAATGAGTGTTGTCTTGAAGTGTCATTCGGTAAATAATACACCCTTAATGCTAACATGTAGTCCATTAAAAGTGTGAACTGTGCCTTAAATTAAAGTGTCATTATTTACCAAATGACACTTCATGACACAATCATCAGACTCTTTCATGTTTATGAATATCAAGCTCCTCTGCTTTCTCCCCATCAGCAGAGCCTGTTGTGATTTCTAAGGCTAATTAGCATGGTCACATATGATGGTGGATAAAAGGTTTTCCTTTAACAATGAGTTGTTTCTCCACCATTGGCATATTTATGAGCAAGTATATGACTGACAGCAGTAAGACCCTTCTCCTGGCTCTGATTGGTTGGTTTTGGCTGGGAGGGGTGGATTTCTTCAGACATTAGCAGCACAAATAGGAAGTGGAAGAGATTGATCTTTTCACTGGTTATCTGTCTCATATTAAACTGTCACATTATGGTGCCAATCTTAACAAATTTGTGATTTTTTTTCTTCTTTTAAATAAAAGTTTCGTATTGCATCTTCACTGAACAGGTAGTCCACCAGAGGTCGCCAAAGGGCCTTAAAGCTTTTAGTTTTTATATTAATTTTGCACTTATACTTTCCATTAGAACATTTTCAAATATTTCTATGTACCGTTGAGTTACTGAAATTTATCACAAATAAAGTTTTTCAGAATAATTGAGCTGTTTGTCATTGGTTTGTTGCTGCTTGTTTTTAATTGGCTTCATGTTGTTTCTCAGGGAGCTGAGGAAGATGAGGCGGAGCGAGGGGCCTGTCCAGTGTCACCAGTTCGAGGAGGAGGCCCGGAGTCACCGACAGGTCAGGGTCGGTCTTTACGGTACCGTCGGGTCAACAGTCCAGAATCTGATCGCCTGTCTGCTGCTGAAGGCCGAGTCGATGGCTATGGACAGAGGTAATTAGATTGCAGCTGCTTTTCCATTACAAATGTGTACAAAACTTTGTCAATGCTCTGCTAATGTCAAAACAACACAAATTTTCAATTTCCATTACATAAGAAACGCAATTAAAAGCACACATGAATAAGTTTGTCAGTAAAAATCATCATCCTACCACTACATCCTGTCGTCTTCCTCATTGTGGTTTGCGCCAGTGGCAGCATCTGGTTATTTGTGGAAATTCAATGCAAATATTGAAGAAAAAATTGAAAAACGTATTACTATACCATAGGTAAAATATCTTGTTATAAGTGAAATAATCTGCCAGTGAGACCAGTACTTTTTCAAATCAATAGTAAGGAATTATTAACGTTAAAAAAGCTCCTATATGTTGCTGAAAAGGTACTTGTAAGTTATTTTTTTCTTATTTCAATTGTACAAAGATATTTCAACTAGAAACAAGGTGAACACATATTTTAATGGATTTTTAACTTAGATTGGACAGTGCAGTTGTTTGAGGTGAAAGTTAAGATTTTGTGTTTTTGCAGTTTATCTAAATAAAGTAATTAAACCGTAAACACATCAGAGTCACATGACGATTTGTGTTTCCTCCAGGTCTAGGATGGACATGCTGGGCTCTCCTTCTCGTCACGTTTACTCCTCCCAGCCGGCTCAGATGCTCTCAGTTGACCCCGGTTGCCGTGGTGACCGTCAGGCCAGTGGGCGCCAGGAGGTGTCGGTGGCTTCTGTTGACCAGGAGGCGCACAGCAACGCTTTCATCCGGTCCGTCCCGCTGGCCGAGGAGGAGGACTTTGACAGCAAAGAGTGGGTGATCATCGACAAAGAGGCGGAGCTGCGGGACTTCCACCCCACCACGTCAGGAACCACCGACGAGGAGCCAGAGGAGCTCCGCCCGCTGGAGGAGCAGGAGGAGAGGAGGAGGCTCAGGGCTGGAGGTAATGTTGCCAAATTAGTCCCCTTTTCCAAAGTCACAGTAAAAAAAAGAAGGGGTTGTATCAGGGCTGGGCAATAAATCGATTTTATTGATTAATCAACTTTTCGGTTCCAAAAAAATCACCTGCTTGAGGGCAAAAGACTGCTCACTATTGATAAATACAATCGTCTTTTTGCCCTCTAAAATTGTGCACGTGTGAAATTTCTGCATGTAGACAATAACATGCCCGGTGTTTGTAGTTCAGAGTGACATCAGCACGCCCAGGGCCGCCATCTTGTTCGATGAGCATGTTTTACAACTTCTATTTATTTGGATGTTAAATTCATGTCAACTCTACGATGGCGTATTCGGTCCAGGCTGGGATTTGTTTTTGTTTCGTCAATTACGAGAATAAAGTCATTAGGAGGATGAAGTTATAATTTGAAGTTGAGAAATTCTGCTTCTTATCAAGTCCTACTTTGGTATTGCTTTTACAGATAAAGGAATTGGCAGATTACGTCACTTATAACAAGACATTTGACAAGACATGTTATAAGTGAAAAAATTGGCCAATTATTAAGGAGTTATTAACTTAAAATAAGTTCTCATCTTTAGATGAAAAGTTATTTTCAAGTGTCTTATTTCAGGTGTACTAAGCTGTTTGCACTATAAATTAGACCAAAATTACTTGGTAAAATTTCCTGTTTTTGCAGTGTAAAGGCTTCAGACCCCTGAGGTAGGGGAGAGGTTGAGCTGCAAGTGGTGCTGATAGATTAGATCACCCTGAAAAATGAAAACAAAATGCTTCAACATGTGGTTTTCCTGCAGGAGGCGAGTTGGTGGTCCGTCCCAAAACTCACACTCGCGACAGCAGCCGCGGGATGCTCACGCTAACGGAAGAGGAGGCGTCAAGAAGAAGCGGCGGGAGCCCGGCTCAGTCACCGTGCCACTCGCTGCCGTCGGGACGCCCTCGCAGAAGAGAGTCGGAGCCCACTGGACCTCAGAGACCGGTAAGAGACCCAGTCATCCAATCAGAGGAGAGAGTCTGGTGGTATGCGCTGGGGTTGGACAGATGAGCAGAGCGATTGGCTGCAGCCCATGTTACCGCTGCAGCTGTCGTAGTGAGGCGCTGCAGCCACCGTGACTCATTTTTCCACTTCCAACATGCAGTTTAAAGGACAAATCCAGCATGACACTACATTTTGCTAATTCCCACGTTTTGTCCTTTAGTCCTTTGGTTCATAATCCAATTGAAGGCAAAAATATTTTTATCAGTCAGTCAAGTTTATTTGTATAGCACATTTCAGCAACAAGGCAGTTCATCATAAAAACACAAAAATACAAAGTCATAGAATACAGCCAGCAGGTAAGAAAACATTTTTACATTTTGTCAAGTGCCATTATCACACATCACATATGTTGGTCAATGTTTAATTTATTGTGTTTCAAAAGCAACTCTAAACAGGTTGAGTTTTAACTTAGTGTTTCAGCTGTTCTGCAGTTTTCTGGAAGTTTGTTCCATATTTGTGGTGCATAAAAGCTGAATGCTGCTTTACAAATCAAATTTTAAATGAAAGAAATAAGATTCAACATTAAGATATCACAATAATTAAACATTATTGGAGGGTGAATAAGTGATACATTAAACTTTTCATCTAATTTTTGCATCATTTGGTAAAATTTATATTACAAATATTTACTCTTGGCACCTTGAGGTACATCCAGCCAATTCACATTCATGTTTTATCAGACTAATTATCAGGAGATTGGCTGCATTATCTTCTGCATTGTGAATCATTTATATTTTACTTTACTTGCATTTTATTTATTATTTTACCATGCAGCAGAACATTTGCTATTAAGTGTTTACCTAAATAAAATTACATATGAAATAGCTAATGCTTTGGGAAATCAAGAAACAGCAAATTAAGTTTACAGACTAATTAAAACTAACTAACTCTGTGATCAGAATTACAGTTTTTTGGCAGAAATACAGGAACGGATTTTATGCAATTTCCAAATACAAAAAACTTCCCTTGCTGAAAGTGCATTACAGACAACCCACTTTCTTTTAGGATATAAAGCAAAACATCTGGATTCAAGCTGGAATTGTCCTTTAAAACTCCCATGAGAAGCTAACGTACTCCTGCTGGAGTGTGTTTGCAGCTTTAGGCAGCTCTGTTCAGCACCTGAACACACCGCACACACACGTGGAGCGTCCACCAGACTGTCCATTACAGTTTGCAGACTAGCTAGCACAGTGATCATTTCTTTGTCAACTTGTAAACAGAATGAGACGATTTTTTTACTCAAAATAAAAAAAAATTACCATCAGTGAATCCAGTGTGGACTACAAAGTTGCTTTAACAATAACACTCTTCAGTGTGGATTCTATTATTGTGTGAGAAGACCTTCACGTTAGCTGAGGATGCGTAAAATGAATTCAGGGGAAACACAAAGATATTGGAAGCCATTTTGAAGGAAACCTGTGATTTATTTAAGCTGCTATAAAGAGAGACTTTTAGCAGGTAACAGGAAGGCTAAATATGTTGCAGTTAACTTCTGAATATCTTGAATGTACTGCATTTGGAAATGTTAGCAGCCGTTTTCTTTAAATCATGGTTAAAGTAAAGGTCTGCATTCCCTTACGAGCTGCTAATATCAGTTTAAAATGTGAACTCTGATGATTTTGTTTTTTTTAAATAGTAAAACCCTGTTTTTCCACAACAGCTCTCTACTTTTATAATAAATAATGAGCATAGTTCTTACATCTCTTTAAACTAAAGTTCTTAAAAACAAAAAATGGTATCTTTACATTAAACAAAAAGAAGAGATGATCTGCAAAACTCCAATTGGTGCACCTCTTCTTTTAAGCAACAGCAGGTAATTATTGGAGATTTCAGAAAGTTACTATATTTTTGCTCGCTTATTATCTTCTAATCACAAATCTTTCAAATGCAGCTTTTAGTTTTGGACAGGCATATTTATAAATTAGTAAAAGTTGGTGTTGTTCATTGCTAGCCTTAAATCAGGGAAAAGCTGAAAACCAACAGGATTTGTTTCCATTTATTATTCTTGACCTTTTTCACAATTTGTTCTTAATTTCTGAGAAACACTGTCTCTGAAAAACTGGATTTTATTATAATTGGTGACCAGCTTCTTGAATGTTTCCACTGGTATTCTGACATATATGCTTGGTAATGAGCTGCGAATCTCTGAAGTTGAATCACCCAGATCTCTAGCTCCCTCCACAGATTTTCTATCAGGTTCAAGTCAGAAGGAAAATGCAAAAATGTTAAATCAAAGTTTATTTAGGCCCAAATCTGCAAGGGGTGTGAATAATTGCTGCTGTATTTCTACCTTGGAGTATTTTAACAGTTGGAAGAGCGTTTCTTTAGCGTTTTGCTCTCAGTTTGGACGTTGCTACCCCAAGAATGCGCCTTCATGTTGGTATAAAATGTCTCTCAAAATGTCTCTCTCATGATAAAACTCAGATGCAAGGAAAGGCAGGATGTTGTGAACTAGCGCTAATCCACTCAGTAGAATTATTTGTGCATTTGCTGTTTGCATAATGAGCATAAATGCTAACCTGATTGGTGCGGCTGGTTCATGTCTAAGAGTCTTGTGATTCACGTCTTGGACTCGGTGATGAAGCTTGTGGACGCTGGCGATGCTCTGCTGTGTTTTCTGAAATTATTCACACATGATGTTGGAACACTGTAAAACATTTGAAGGTGGTTTAACTTAAAACGAAAGTCCACCTGCTGCCTTGAAAATGTAATTTAAGTCACAAGAAAATTTTATTGGTTTTAACTCAGAAATTAAAGTTCATAAAGTTGATTTAACAACAAGAGACAAGTTGTTTAAACGTTTTTAAATTTCATTGATCTTGAATTGAGTTTTAACTTAAAGCTGCAATTTAATCCAAATATTTATTTCACAATATGTAAGACAAAAAAATACTTCCTCTTCTAGTTAAGAGTCACATTTCTCTACTACTTTACTCATAATATCAAGTTAAAATAACTATTTATTTTACTTTTGAATAACTTAATTTCCTGTTTGAACAAAATTTCTGATCTGATAATGAATTTTGTTAAACAGCACAATTAATTCTGCTCAGAAACATTTAGTGTGAAAAGGAAATAAAAATTAACATTTGCCTTAAAACACAGAAGTTAGATCGATGTCACGCACTTCCATTTCACTCACGGTGCAACACAGGATACAAAACATGCCCCTGAGCATTCTGGGAAATTAAAATTAAACCCTGCCCTAAAACATCTACTTTATTCAACTCATGGAGGTTAACACAACTTATTGTTGTAAATTTATCTTTTAAAAACTCACAAATTTAGGTTCACAATCTAAAAGTCACTAAATTTATTTGGCTTGAAGAGTAGAAGACAGTAGACACAACTAAATGTGGCTCAAATGTTTTACAGTGTAGTTCTGTCAGTGAAAGCATGGAAACGTACTGTGACATGAAACCTGCTCCATATCGTACATTTAACGTTACTCTGGATGAAAACACTATCTGACTGAGTGGGAGGAAGTAAGTGTGTGTCTGTGTGATCCGAGTGGCTTATTGTGTTAAATGTAACCATTGTTTTTATTTTTTAGCTGGAGTGTTTTATTGGTTGTAGGGATGAATGTGAAATCATAATTATAATTGCGGTTTTAATTATTCTGTAATGATGAAATTGTTCCTCTCACGGTGATGCAACATATCGTTACATGAAACCTTCAATTAAAACAAAGATTTGTACCTAGAACAGATCACAATTAATGCATACACAAAGTTTAGGGATTTTATTTAATTTATTTTTTAAATGGAGATTTATTAAGTAAAAAGAGAGCAGGTTGTTAGGCAGACTGTTTTGAATGTTTCAAATAAAGACATGTTGGTTTGGTTGGATCTTCATGACGAACTGAACGAAACATTCATTTTAAATTGAAAAATATTTTTATTTTTCCCAAAATTAAATTAAATGTCAGTGTAACTTATGTTAGCCAAGTATCCTCAAACAGTCACTGTGGATCTCTGGTAGCAGTCAGTCCTGCAACCAATCTGTAGAGGCCTCTGACTGAAGACTGTTGATGTTTAACTGCAATGATTTGCTAACAGCTCAATTTCTGAACACCAGAGACAATATTCCATGGATATGTGTCCTGGATGGCACCATCAGTTGTTATCAAGCACTGCTAATCCATCTCATTTGCTTTTGCCACTTCTCCTTAAATCTCTGACTGGCCGTTTGTTTAGAAAACCAGGTAGAGACGTTAGAATCAGGGAAATGATGTTGCCCATTATGATTTAAACTTCCTCCTCTCTGCTCTGCATCCATGACGCCTTCGTTTCAAATCCTCCGGGTTCATAGGTCATAGTTCAGATATTATTTGGGCTCTTTAGATGCTTGCAGATGTAATATATGACCTTGTTTTCACAATTACCCATCATAACAACAAAGGTAAAAAATTAACACCACAAATCCTTCCAGCTGCACAGCATCCAAAACCAGAGGGAATAATTGTCAACGCTTCAACCACAAAATGGTGACCAAAGTCTACAAAAAGAATAAATTTGCACATTTTGCACTAAAAAATGTTAAAAACCAAAGAACCATTGTTTACAGTTTGAGCAGACTCTTGCTGTGTTTAGTCTAAAAAAAGCACATCTCAGTGAATTATTTTAACTTCCTTAAATGTTGCTAATTGAGTTAATAAACAGAACATAAAACATGAGCTCATTTTATGAATCGGTTTTAATAATTAGGTCGTAGAATGCTGCTGCCAGTGGATTGTACAAATAAATGTTTAACTGTTACCAGAGTCTCAATATTATTTTAATTGGATGTGAAAAAATTAGCATATCTAGATTTTGTTGTTGTCGTTGTTAGGAGTTCCAGACCGAGGCACTAAAATTACAATTTAATCTAAATTAACTGCTTTCTTTGGTTATAATGGGCCAAAATTTGAATATTTATTTACCCAAACGAAAACAAATGGA